CTCTACCCAGTGGAGGGAGCCCAGCCCAAGGCTGGTTGTGCGGGGGCTCTGGGGTCAGGGCTGAGCTCACAGTCTGGGCTGCATCACCACGTTGTTCCTGTCACGCGTGGGGAGCCACGGAGCTGGCTGGGCATCCGGGGGAAAGCTTTGTTGCTGTTAGAAGACGGAGCCCTGCGGGAAAAGCAGCCGCCTCCCAAGGAGTTCGTGGGAGTAGCTGCCCCAGGATGGGGTCGGCAGAGAGAGCCTGACCTCACACAGCTCCATCCTGACTCAGTTTCCCTCCCAGGGTCTCCCCTCACACCACGGCATGATGCTGCTGGCAGGGTCCTGCCCATGGCAGTTCCTAGGTCAAGGAGGCTGCCCAAAGCAAGGCACACCTTGCTATAGAGTCACTTCCGTCCGGTTCTGCCCCTTCCAGGTGCTGCGCATGTCAGTGCCAGGGCTGGCTCTGTATCTGGGTCACCCTGGTCCTGCTTTGCCCCCAATAACGTTCCCGCGTCTCATGCCCAGTGAGGTGGAGTTTCAGGTTGCCATGGCTACATCCTCCCTCCCATCTAGCGAAACTAGGGATGTAAAATCCTGTGTAATAGGTTCACCAGTTAAACATGGTACGAAACATTGTTTAACTGGGGGTAGCGGGAGGAGGGGGCGCTCTAGCCAGAAGGGGCTCTTCCAGCCCCATGAGAGGTTGCTTCTTTTGGCCCCATGCAGGGCTGCTGGCTCCTAGCCCCATGGGAGCTGCCAGCCCCTCACACAGGCCAGGTGGGGCTGGAGCAGCCCTTTGCCTGCGGCGGGACGTGGGTGGGGGGCAGCTCCTGGGTACCAGTTAACCGTTACCCAGTAAGCATCACCCATTAAAGGGTGTTCGCATCCCCCATTGAAACCACTCAGGACTTGGCTTAGACACCAGAGGGGCTGCGTTCGCTGCCCCTGCCTGTGTGAGTAAGGCAGGCCCGGAGCCCCAGCTCCTCTCACCAGCCCCCAGCCGGAGGAATCGAGCTCAGGACGTTTGGGGGAGGAGAGAGAAGGGAGCAAATGTCTCCCTCTCTGCTCACAGAACACCGTTCCAACGTCAGGGCTGGAGCAGACTCCATAGCCCCGGCCCCCAACCTCACAAGGGCTGTTGTCCAGAGGAATGGGGGGGAGGGCGGTAGAGTCACTCCTTGCCATCCCCCTCCCCACGCTTTGGTCACACTGAGCAGAGAGCTGAGCTCCGGGGCGCACAGGGAGCGTGTAAGCCACACACAGGCTCCCGCACTCCTGCGCCCCTTAGGACGTGACTCTGCACTGGCTGCTTCGGCTGTGTGGGACCCTCCCCTCCCTCAAAGGGGCAGGCGTTGTCGATAAACACACATACATGTGGCCAAGGTGCCTGCATATCTCACTAGGAAATCTCCCACCTTCAAGGGCCTGGGTCTGTATCTGACTTCCTGCTGTTGAAAGTCTACATGGACCAGTGGGTTAATTTTCAGTTACCTTTTAGAAGGGAGCCACATGCAGAGCCGAAAGCTACAGTAAAAAGAAACCAACAGCCGTTACAGGCAGTCAACCCCTTACTGGCTGGCTACAGTCACTGAGATCAGCTGTGAAACAGCTGTGAGCATCTAGGCTTGGATCCGCCTGAGAGCGACAGCTTCCCCTTTTTCGCTTTCACTCGTCTCTGCTCCTTGCTTGTGAGCCTTTGACTCAAACGCCAGTTGGGTGTAAATGGTTTGACCCTGTCTGACAACATGTAATAACATCAGACACCTCCCCATGCGGCCAAACAGACAAACCGACACACCTGGATGGTTGTCCCCTTTTTCGCTTTCACTCGTCTCTGCTCCTTGCTCGTGAGCCTTTGACTCAAACGCCAGTTGGGTGTAAATGGTTTGACCCTGTCTGACAACATGTAACAACATCAGATACCTCCCCATGTGGCCAAATAGCCAAACCGACACACCTGGATGATTACACTTCATTGAAAATTCCTCTGTGCCAACAGCACGTCACAGACGTAGAAACCACCATGGGGATCTGGCATTAAAAGTTCAGTCCTCGGCCTGGAAAAGGAGGGAGACCGTGTTTAACGTTCCCGTTCACTCCTCTGAGTCTGCAGCGTTCTCTCTTTTGCTGAATAAAAGACTCAGACCAGAACCACAGGGGCCTTGGAAATTCTGTCTCCGCAGTTCACTGATTTCGAAGTCCAAGAGAAGGGCTCATTGGTGGAAATTGAAGGTGTTGTTCACACCACGTAAGCGGCTTTCAGATCAATTTCTATCCAGATCCTCTTTATCTCACCACTCACCGCTTCACTGTGCACTAACCACCGACGGGCTCACCAGGCCTCTGCTGTGTCAGTCACATACGTCACGGTTTGCATCATCACTCAGCTCGTTCTCTCTTTTGCTGAATAAAAGACTCAATCCAGAACCACAAGGGCCTTGGGAATTCTGTCTCCTCAGTTCACTGATTTCGAAGTCCGAGAGAAGGGCTCATTGGTGTAAACTGAAGGTTTTGTTCACACCACGTTTCAGATCATTTCTATCCAGATCCTCTTTATCTCACCACTCGCCGCTTCACTGTGCACTAACCACCAAAGGCTCACCAGGCCTTTGTCACCAGGTCACATACATCACGGTTTGTATCATCACCCGCAGATTCCCATGGGAGTTGAACCTGCTGAATTCAGGCAGAAGTTTGCCCCGTGTGATAAAGCGAACGAGTGATGGGAGCAGGGCGATAGCGGGTCCAAGCACCGGGCCTGGCTGCATCCAGAGCAGCTGCTGTGTTACAGCTCTGTAGGAAGGAAGGAACGTTCAATACATACAAGCGGTGCTGGTAGAGCTGTTTCCAATTTGTGTTGCGAAACCAGCCCATCTCTTAAGGGGCTGCCACTAAGGTCCTTGCACAGACACAGAGGCTGTGTCTACACTGGGCCACTTATTCTGGAAAATCAGCCGCTTTTCCGGAATAAGCTGCCAGCTGTCTACACTGGCCCCTTGAATTTCCAGAAAAGCACTGACGATCTACTGTATAAAATCAGCTGCTTTTCCGGAAAAACTATGCTGCTCCCGCTCGGGCAAAAGTCCTTTTTCCGGAAAACTGTTCCGGAAAAGGGCCAGTGTAGACAGCACAGTAGTCTTTTCCGCAAAAAAGCCCCGATCGCGAAAATGGCAATTGGGGCTTTTTTTGCGGAAAAGCGCGTCTACATTGGCCATGGACGCTTTTCCGGAAAAAGGGCTTTTCCAGAAAAGCATCCTGCCCAT